TACTCACAGCTAGCTTTCACACGGGTGCCCAGAGGTGTGAACTCAGCCCCTCAAGTCTGCACTGCAGGCACACCACTGACTCAGCCATCTCCCTAGCCTAACATTATTTTCTTTGCCATATAAATCCAAAACTGTCTGCAGGAGACACGGCCGTGACAACTTCCTGCTGCGCGGCTTTTGGCAGCAGCGTATATCTTGGGCCTGGCAGTCACAGTGGCTATTCGGTGAATGCGATTACTGTGCACACGACCTCAACAGGGACGGGGAGAGCTTCAGTCCCAGGTTCAAAACCAGCTGTCTGGAACGCACTGCTTCGTCTCTCCTTGTTTAACCCCCTCTAGTTAGTCTCACTCAAGCCTGGCTGCCTGACACAGGCTTCTTTCTGTCACTCTTCAGATCCCCGGGAGCCTTGACAAAAGAACCGTTTCCTCGGATAACAGCCAGGAAGGTGGAAAACGTGTAAGACACGTTTTAAAATACACGTTCTCCATGTTTGAGGTTACAAAACCCAAATGCGTTCTTTTATGTTCCCAGCTACTGTTTGATTTGATCCCTTAAGCTCTATCCGCCCAGCTCTGTTGTTCTCGGACGTCGCTGCGATGCGTCCTGTGACACCGAGCTTACCTACCAAGAAGAAGAGGGACAGAGACGGCATGAGGATGCCGGCAGGTAGGCCCGCACTGGGCTGTGAGCGGCTGGCTCCAGGCACTAACACACACACACACACACACACACACACACACACACACACACACACACACACGCTGGCGTTTTCCTACCAACTTCCCTGTACTTATGAGTAGAAAACTGTGTGAAACAGGGACAGGTTAGCAAACAGTGAGAATCTTATTTCCAATCAACAAGAGACACAGTCCAGTCCAAGACAGATGGACGACTACTGCGTTAATTTAAAAGAACAATTTTGTACACACTGGTCCTTAAAATCTGTTCTGGACATAGTATATTAGAAGAGCATAAAATTACGTGTCTTGTTTTGTTTTTGGAAGCAATCCTGCCCCTGCACTCAGTGAGAACTTCCCCAAGTGAGCACTGCACCGAAGCCACCATGATGTTCCAACTGGGGCTTTGAAGCAAAATGTCAGTACCCTGGATTTCTTTTT